AGTGACTGCAGTCACACCCGAATTTTCTAGGCATGACCCGGACATGAACCAGCCACTATGGATATTAGTCATTTCCCCACCATTTTAGGTGACATCCCTGTGTCATGTTAGATTTTAGGACATCACCTTGCGATCCGTTACATGCTGCTCCTCCTCAAAACAGAAAAAGTGAAAACACTCAGCTAACAGTCAAACTACCCTTTTCACACATACATCATACCCTACATCCACATATATATTGGCCCACGGCCCAACTACTCATAAATCCAATTAGCCAACACCCTAATTCAAAGCTCAAAGTCTAACCCTAACACTCAAATCCCAATTAAGTTAACCTACACACTTAACGAGCCTATACTTAAGCCCATATATACCAAATCACCCTTATCCAAATCCCATTAAACCAAAACCCTTAATACATCCGGACTACTACACTTCTCTTATATATGCCAAATCCAATTATAATACCTAACAACCCATTAACCTATAAACCTAATGGAAATCAACTACTTAAACCCACACTGGCCCAAACAAAAAATACACTAGCCTATTCAACCCACACTACCGAGCCCAAATCCACCAACATCTTCATCGATTCTTCAAACCCTAATCCAAGCTATGTAACTGCCTCTCGTCGGCAACCACCCTCTTCGCTAGCAGCCGCCACATCTCAAAACAAGCTGCCTGCCTTATCAGTCAACATCACAACCTAGCAACACAACCACCACCACTCACATCGATCCCACTCATCAACGCGACCAATCCACAAAACGGAAACCACCCTACAAATCATCCTTTCCCGATCGACAGCCACTAGTCCGATAGTATCGCCAGCCACAATAGTTGCCACCGGACACTCATCTCTACCAAGAGAATAACTCTAACTCTTCCGATTCCACACTCCTCCAAACCCCAATCATTGCTCCATCCATGTTTGACCGCCGACACCATAACACCTTCTGATTGCCACCACTGTTGTAAAGCTAGAAAACTACAAACCACTACTCCCGTGCCTATTTATTTTGCACAATTATACTACCATAGTTTCTGGAGCCTTGTTTGCATATATTTTAGGATGCAATTTACTAAGCTGAGGTTTTGGGAAATTTTCGAGGTGTCCACTTGTCATTTGAATTGAATTTTTATTTCTTGGACAGACAACAGCTTGGTTTGGCTTATACACCGGAGATATTGAAAAAGGAAAAAGCTTTTGGATATCAAATTGCAAAAGATTTGGGACTGGACACTAAAGGTGCACCACTAGCTGGCTCGATTTACATCTCATGAGGTATACCAATTTTGCATTTTGAAAGCTCTACTTTTATTTAGGTGTTTGTGGCCCGTCAAACTTTATGTTATAAAAAAATGTCATATAATACTAATTACAATTCATATAACTCGTATAACTATAACACGTCTTTCAATCACTATCACGATCATGTATCCTCCTCGAGCTCTTATTCACACAATTATCATTTGTCTCAGACTTTTGTTAAGGACGTACATTCTCCTCTTAGGCATGTCGTGATCCACCTGTCGAATTTTGATTGCCTTACTAGATCCGATTCATTTCTTGATTGGTTGACAATCTTGAAAAATTCTTTGTCTATTACAATTTGAGTGATCACGTAAAATTTGTTATGCTAATATATCACTTGTTGGGGTCTGCCACAAGTGTTATTGGAAATCATTTTGGCATAACATTGATAACTTAGGTCAGCGTCCTATCACTTTGTGGGATGAGATGAAACTAATTCTAAGTAATAAATACGCTCCCGTGTACTATAAAACTCAATTGGTAAATCAATTATTTTTGCACTATAAGCAAGGTACTTCCACTGTTAGTGAGTATCTAGCCTATTTCGAAAAGTTATTGAACAATTGTTATATTTATGAGGCTCCCACAACGTCTAGGTTTATCGATGGTTTGAATCTTGACATGTTGCCTAATGATATTCTTGCATTTCGATCCTTAGATGACGCATACCAACAGGCCAACCTATAGAACTTATCTTTCCATCTTCGCCAAGCTTGTCATAAACTAGGTCTACCACCCTAGTCCCAACAGTTACCTTTCGAGTCTAATTATGTTACTCTTGATGAAGAAACCAAGGTCTTTATTGTTGAGTCTATTGAATATTCTGATTGCGAGGATAATGACGAATTATCCATGGTCTTACCACCTAAGCCAAATAGTCCACCCATCTTCGATTTCATGCCAAATTCATTATTGTCTAATCCCTCTGTGACTCTCACATTGCCTTTAATATGACTTTACCTCCATGGTGTGATACTCCCCTGATTGACACATTCTCCAAGGTCATTGTTCGTTCACACACTTCTTCTCTTAACATTTGGTTGTTACCAACTAATAATCGTCATACTATTTTAGCTCCATACTTTGTTGATTTTCTTGTCAAGTTTGACAAACACACCGTTTTCGGTCACGACCTTTATGAGCTTGCATTTGACACTCCATTTAGGCACAAATACTTCCATGATGATTTTTATGCATTATTACATGTTTCTTTAGCACGATTTTCAGCACATGTAAAGAAAAAGTTGAGTGATTCACTTGTACATAATCTCTTTGACTGGCCCTCACACTTAAATGAATGTTCTGTTTTCAATATAGTAGAATTGTTTCCTCATTGGGGCTTATTCGAGCCACCAGTATTGCACTTTTTTTTTTTTTTGCAGGCCAGTCTTTCGTCTTAGTGCATTGTGCTACTCATATGGATTTCGTGGTAACTTTTGTGGATGACTTACACATGTTACTTATTGGGGTTCCTTGTAGCTCCTTGGTCAGAAGGAAAGATCACCCCCTTGGTCAGTTTAGTTGTTTGGGAATGTTTTGCAAATTCAGTTGTCATGTGGATGGTATCGGTGTTTGGTGAAGAAAAAATATCGTCCTCCTTGGTTAAGAAGTTGCAGTCTATCTCGTCGGAGTCGAGTTTTCTCCAGGGAGAAATGATGGAGTATTATAAGGGATTTTATTTATTTAGTTTCCCATTCTAAATCGTATTTTAGGAAATATTATTATGATTTGATTTATTAGCTTTTATAATATTTTCTTATTTAGAATAGGGTCATTCGAAATCTGTATAAAGGGGATTATTCGATGTAATCAAGAGAACCTTGAATGAATAAAAATTGATATTTTTCTTCCCCAATTCTTCTCTATTCTCATCTTTTTCTTCTATTTCTCCCTTTTTTCTCTTCTTCTCTCCCCTTTCCTCTTCTTTCATAGCATCCAGCATCAAAAATTGCATCCAAGGCTTGTTTGTTATGCTTGTGTGAGAGGGGGGTGGCTCGGGTTGGGGCCAGATCCACTGTTGACTCATATCTTTCTAAAATCAATATTTGTAGGTCCGTGAATTTTTTTTTTTCTGGTTTATACTTGATTCAATAGTGAAGGTGATATTCTATGATCAAAATAATGTGTATCTTAGGTCTTCTATTACATATTCTATCATCATCATAATAGAAAAATGAAAAAATGTTTAGAAATTTCTCAATTTTTTGTAATACATGAAAATGGGAATAACTTTATCATATCCTTGAATGGATTTCTGTGGAAATAACCTTGTACGTCGATCATTAGTTTTTAGAGGTGAACTGCAGATCTTTAGTTCCCACAACTGGGACTGCTGCATGTTTTCTTCCTTTTCTTTTTATTTTTGGGCTATTGGGCCCTGTTCTCCCCATCTTTAGTTGGAGAGGGAGGGAGAAGGGAATAGGAGCAGCATTTTTAGGTTATTCCCTATACCTCATCCACCAAGATATATAGTTTGGTGTTTAGATTTCTTATTATATGTGTAGGATTCTTTAACAATTTTCCATTTTTCATTCAGGGTGCTGAACTTGCTGCCCAGGAAGGAAACAGTGCTGCAGCTTTGGCAGCTTGTAGGACATTGGCTGAAGAGCTCACTGAAATGAGATTTCCATCTCCTAGAATTCTTGCATTTAAGGTACTCTTATTTCACTTTTTGGAAAAATGCTGTCCAATAGGAGCCTTGGATTCTCTATGAAGTACTGTAATTTTTTTATAAATCAAGATTCTGAGTGGTTCTGGTTTCTAACAGGAGGGGAGCTCTCAGGCTAGATATTTTGTTTCTCGACTGATACCAGCACACAAAGACCCCCCTTATGAGCAAGTATGTGCTAATAGAGTTGCAATTTATTTGGTGCCTTTTTCTGTTTGTTTATCCTTGAATTTAGTTTTCTAGAGTGAAATGTGGCATAAATTAATCATTATTAATAAGTTTCAGTCTATTTGGTAATGAAAAAAACTCAATTTTTTTAACTTACAAACTGCAGGAGGCAAGATTTCCTCAGCTTCGAACTTTGACTACAGAGCAGAGAACAAAACTAAAGAGTAGTTTTATTCATTTTGATGATCCTAGCTTCGGTGAGTGGATGCGGACTTTGAAAATATTGCCACCAGAGCTGAGCTGAGAGATACTGAAATCCTTTTTCTTCTGATGTACTCAAAATTTGCCCCCTTCATAGATATTTGTATTATTTGGAAGTTTTTCAGGCCCTGTTTATCAATAACATACCGTGTAGAACATTGGTGCTCACCGGTAAAACAATATCTTTCTTGATCCAATTGTATATGGCTTTTAATTGCTCTAAACGTGTGTATGGCCTCTGTCTGTCTCCCCCTTCACGACCATTTTCATAACCACGTGCTTTTTGAAGGGCAATCTTCCCGTTAAATATGATTGGAGTGCAACCTGCCTGTTCGGTTCAGTGCTATCATTTGTTATTGGGTAATCCTACGCATTGTGCACATTATTTCTGCAGTTTGTATCTGATGCAGATGAGCAATTATCAAGATTTTGGATGTGAAAGTTAATACTATGATTATAGTTAGATTCCTAGGAATTTATTGTACAAGTTGTCTGTCTAATGTGGTTTTTGGGAAGAGTATTGTTGGCATTGCAATTCAACTTTTATTAGTTTTGGCGCCGCTAAAGATTCTTTTAGGTGTCTTGATCACTCGACCCTGAGCACATAATCTTTAGTCATCGTTATTTCGTGCGCCCATGACGTATTTTTGAGGTTGTTAGTCAACAGCTTTGTGGACAGCGACTTCATATTGTTTCTTGAAATGTATATCTTTGTTTGACGGAAAACATCTACACCTTGCGCACCGTGAAAGTGGAATCATCATAAAAGTTGCTTGATATTTTCCTTTTGTAAGTAAAACAATCCAATTTGATTCTTTAATTGTTTGTGCTTTGACACAAGATTCCTTTACTTTGTGAAACATAAACCCACTTTGTGACTGAAATTTTTTATTCTTAAACCCACTCCTCAACAGTTTGATTCCGGTAATCTTGATCTTTCTTTATTAAATTAAGGATATGGGAATAAAATCCTCTCTTTATATATATAGTTTTTCGAATTTTATACAAAAAAAAATAAGAATAGCATAATTTAAAAAAATTTAGGAGGTAATAGCATGCATAATTGAGATTAACGACACACCAAAATTTTAGCCCTTGTTTTGGCAACCATTAAAATGAAACTTTGGAGGAGGTTAGGTTTTGAAATAGCGATTTTTTTGGAGAATATGTGGTTGAAAAGTAAGAAAAAATTTTGAATTTACGTATAACATTATTTCATGAACGAATATGTGGCTGAAAATGAATTTTAAAAAAATGGAGCCCAAAAAGGATAGTGACATCTCCAAAATAAAGATTGGAACGTTAAGTTGCTAAAAGAAGTATAAAGTGAGGACTAACCCTACAATTTCGAGTAGATGCAAAGATGCTTTTATCCAAGAGTGATGCTATTCATCCGTATTGGATTACAAACACAGTTTACACGGCGTTAACAGCGTTAACGTAGTATTAAATGATTTAATTTCAGTTTTCTTTTAACCTATCATTTACAGACAGTTAAATTGTGTTTGTAACCCGCTGGAATCTAGATGAATAACGTCAAGTCTTTCTTTAATACAGGCAGCAGCCACAGTTACAACGGAAGATTTTCAATTTTAGGTTACGCGAAGAGCGGCTATAGCCTCTCTTTCTCCACTGTGCGCGCATTTGTCTCTGCGATTGTGGCTGAAAGAGGAAACTTTTCCGATTGGTGCAAATTCTTTTTATCCCTTCATACTGTACTTGTAATTTTCCAGTTAAATTTCATGTTTTGTTTTATATACAGCATATTCATTTGTTTCTGCAACGAAATTAATGAATCCACATAACTACTCGTTTATATAAATTCATAGATGGATTTGTTTCAGTATTTTTTTGTTTATCTTTTTGTCTGGTGATAATTATGTAAATGAATCCAAGAGGCTGCCTTGTCTATTTTCTTTTGAAGTTTTCACGTTTATGCCGATCTGTTTATTGGTTCTTTCTTTCTTTTTTAATTATTTATATAATATTCCACCCTGTTCTTACTGTTCAGTTGTTACCCATTCGCCTCAATTATTGTCTACAGGTTTGTCCTGTGCTGTGAGATTTCATAGATTATCATCTCATGGCTAGTAGTGAGTATTCATCTACACTCTTATCCCATCCTAGAAGAGTAGACTGCATCTCTTCTCTCTCTCTCTCCTTTTTTTTTACCGTGCTGTGACTCCGCACAATGTGGGTATTATTTTGAAATATTATGATTTGGCTCTTCAGAGGGAAAGAAGAAGGAAGTGAAGAAAGAGACTGGTCTTGGTCTCTCTGTCAAGAAAGATGACAACTTTGGAGAGTGGTATTCTGAGGTATGCCTCACTCAATTTCTGGCTGCTTTTTTGAATGTTGTCATATAGTGAAGTTGCATGCATATTTGTTATATGTTTAGCCCTTGACTATTTTGCTTTTGATATATGTGCTTCCATGCATTTTTCTTCACTCGTTACTTTTTTTAATAAAAATTCTGATTTCTGAATACAATTTCTTTGGGAACCTTATTGTTCCCCCTTTTTTTTTTGATGTTCACGAACTCTTATTAAATTGACATTTATGTTGCAATGTTCAATGTGGACCAAAGTTAACTGAATGACAAGTCGTCTTATACTGCATCTTGCTCATTTTGTTATATTACATGAGTACAATATTTTGTCCTTACAAACTTATCTGTGATCTAAATTGACTCCCAAACCCTGTTTCAGTCTCCAAGTTAAAAATTTGGATGATTTTGATCCAGCAGTCTTGATCACTTTTTCTCTCCTTGATTGTATAGGTTGTCGTTAATGGTGAAATGATTGAGTACTATGACATATCTGGTTGTTACATTTTGCGGCCATGGGCGATGTCCATTTGGGAGATCATGCAAGTAAGCTTATATTACCCAGTAAAATTCCACTGATACTATGCTACTTGATGAATTTGCATTTAATTTTTATTTTTTCAATCCTTTATGTAAATTCAATAGCGCACCAAACGGAATGGTGATTTTTTCAACATTTTAGATCCCAAGTTTTATGAGAAAAGGACTTAGTTTATGCACTAGTAAATACTTGCATTATATGTGTGAAACCGGCCGTCCTCTATTATCATAAATAACATATACTTCAAGTTGTGGTTTCCAAACTCTATACTTGAGGCACAGTAAAAGTATCAATGTTTTGCATTTTCCTATTTTCAGACCTAAATTATTTGCTGCCACATCATGAGGAAAAATTGGACCACTGTTGTGCATAGAATGTTGTACTTTTTTTTCCTTGCTCAATAATTATTCTATGTTCTGTTTGATAACCTTCACCTCTTTTTTATCTCATTTGTTGAATCTAGTAATGCCTGTTGAATCTGTTTCCTATGTAAATGTGCAGACCTTCTTTGATGCTGAAATTAAGAAAATGAAAATAAAAAACTGCTACTTCCCCCTTTTTGTGTCCCCTGGTGTTCTGCAAAAAGAGAAGGATCATATTGAGGGGTTTGCTCCTGAGGTGAGATTGCTTTGCTTTTGGCACTACTGTGTTATACCATATTTATCTGTAGTTAGGTGCAAAAATCAAGTATCATTTGGAAGTGTATTGGTTATTTTATTGAACATCAGATATTTTTCTCTTGATAACCGTAACTCTTGGTTTAGCCTAGTTTCCTTTCTGGGTCGATGACAAACAGGCAGCACAATGATTAATGGCAATATCAAGTTTTATGAGACCTTCTATACATGAATCATTTTTCAAAACTTCAGGGCCCGTGGAATTAGTCGAGCTGCGCGCAAGCTGGCCCGGACATCCACGGTTATTAAAAAAAAAAAACTTCCTTTTATTCATAATTTAAAATTTAACATTTACTGAAAAATATAATGGTATCTGGTTTCTAAATTAACGCCTGCAATAATCCCACCATGAAGGATGCAAATCTCAACCACTAGGAATGAAAACTCCATCATTAGGAATATAATCTTCGCCATTAGTAATGCAATCTCGGTAATTTTTGATTCCTCCTTGGTTATAACTATGATCTTGCACTTTTTACAGGTTGCATGGGTTACAAAGTCAGGAGAATCTGAGCTGGAAGTGCCCATTGCCATTCGACCAACTAGTGAAACTGTTATGTATCCTTATTTTTCCAAGTGGATCAGGGGACACCGTGATTTGCCTCTGAGACTTAACCAATGGTGCAATGTTGTTCGATGGGAGTTTAGCAATCCTACTCCATTTATCAGGTGTTTTTCAGGGAGCCTGTCTTTTTAGTTAGTTTTGTGGTTTTTTGGCAGGACAGGTTGGGTAGTCTTGCTATTAGAAGGTGAATACAGCTTCTACCCAGTATTTGTATTGGATTTGCTATATGCGAATTGATCTGTTATCCCCTAGATTATCCATTTCTTCGTTTACTTAAAAAATTAAACACTTATCTTGTGACAAGGAATCAAGAATTAGGTTTGTTGTCTATTAATTGGTGATGTCATCTTTATGATTTGCAGGAGTAGAGAATTTCTTTGGCAGGAAGGGCATACTGCTTTTGCAACAAAGGAGGAGGCGGATACCGAGGTACTTCTAGTTATATTATGGATTGCAGTGCTCAGATTTTTCCTTGTTATGAAGATTCTGAAATCTTACTTTTGACTAAACGTTACTTCTAAAGTTGATCCTCAGATTGAACAATTTAAAGACCATTGCATTTTAATATCATGAAAAGACTCTACAAGATTTTTAGCCCCACTTTTTCTGCCACTGCTGTATCGGGTATCAGGCTGCTATTGCTTTAGATTTTTTATGTTAGGCCATCTTCATTTCTCCATGTATTGCTTTCTAGTTCATGGTTATTTTGTGTTATCCTCAGCTTTGACACTCCAAATATGTGCATATACTATAATGGTCGGTGTTGACAGTGGTTGAATTTTTTTTACTTGAAACTTGTGAACTGCGATAGTTCTTGTTGCCAGAGCAAGGAACGCCCTTGAAGATTCCCTAAAAATATTATGCTAATTAATACAGTGCTATTGCTGTCTTAAATTGAGTTTATGGTGATTAGTGATTACTTTTACCTGTTCCTATCCTGTTGCAACCTTAAATATTTTCTTGCCGGGTATGTATCTTTGAGTTCATTCATTGCTGCATATTCTTTCTAACTAGAAATTATGTTGACAAATGTGGCATTGTATTATTTAATGGATAGAAATAGTGTGACCCAGGGTAAGAATGATGTCAATGTTGATGGAGTTGGGTATGAGTATTAGATTCAGATTCAGGCATATGCCCAAGTGTCATATTCATCAAAAATCTCTACAATATCCTTATTTCAAGAATGTAATGACTGACTTGGGTACATAAGCCTTAATAGAAGTCCAGGAAATGGCTTGAGGATTCCTATGATACCGCCTGGAAGCCTTTTTTTTTGGAATTTGAAGAGCTGAAATGTTGACTCTCTACTTGCATTTTTGTGGCTAATTTGTGGGACAAATTTATTTGATGATTATCTATATAATATTTTGAGTAATATTTCAGCTTTGATAGTGTTGTTAGGATTTAACACTGAATTTTATTGGTTCATAATTTTAATTGAGCAGTTTCCTTATTGTATTTGTTTCAGGTCCTTGAGATTCTGGAATTGTATAGATGTATTTATGAAGAATTCTTGGCTGTTCCCGTTATTAAGGGCAAGAAAAGTGAGCATGAGAAGTTTGCTGGTGGACTTTACACCACCACTGTTGAGGTATTTAACAATTACACTGTCTTATTCAATGCTAATTTTTCTACGAGTCTTCTCTTCTTGTAAATGAAATCCTGTTACCTAATTTTGACATGATTTGATTCATTTTTTGCCAGGCTTTTATCCCGAACACCGGGCGTGCTATACAAGGTGCAACTTCACACTGTTTGGGTCAAAATTTTGCAAAAATGTTTGAGATAAATTTCGAAAATGATAAAGGAGAAAAGGCTATGGTCTGGCAGAATTCCTGGGCTTATACTACCAGAACAGTAAGCAGGATATTTTCCCTATGTCATTATACTTTTTTAAAGTTCTATTTTACGTTGTTCAAATGAAAATTCTGAACAATTATGACATGGTTTTTACGTAAAGGACAAAGATTAGGCTGATAGAATAGTCTAAGTTCTTACAATGCCTATCATCTTATTCTTAAAATTAGTGTTTGTTTTCCTGTTTGAAGGTTTTTTGGTAAATGCAGTGGAAAGGATGCGACTTAAATTGGGATTTGCCTCCCTTCACGCATTCCTTTCTTCCAACTTTTTCACAGAAAATATTAGTATTAATTTTGAACATTAAACAGGCCCTAAATCTCCAGTCTGGTTTTATTAGTACAGTTTCTTTCTGCCAGCCAGTGCTTATTGACATTTGTTTTTCCTTGTTCTTTCAACTTCTGGCAGATAGGGGTAATGATTATGGTTCATGGGGATGATAAAGGCTTGGTGCTGCCTCCTAAAATAGCTTCTGTCCAAGTAATCGTAATCCCTGTACCCTATAAGGATGCCAACACTCAAGGAA